TGTCGTCACGCTCTATGAGAAAGTTAGAACTAGAAACCCCAGGATTATTCGTATTAGATAAGACTTACGGTCCCAACCAAGATCGTGGAGAAGAGAGCCAACGGCGTGGAGCTCGAGATCGACCTCGGCCTTAAGGGTGGCGTTGTTGTTCAGGGCAGCAGCGCCGAGCAACCATGTTCGGACAACGTGGTTGTACAGGTAAGGCTGGAGGGGGATGAAAGCCTTGACGAGCTCGTGAGCATCGCGGACGATCTGGGTGTCGACGACCTCGACACCAGCGATCGTGGTGGTGGGAAGAGTGCCGGCAGGGCACTTCTTGGAGGGCGCGGCAATGGCGGTGCCGGCCACAGCCAGGCTAGAAATGAGACCAGCAGAGAACTTCATTTTGAAAATTAGATATTTAGAACTAAACAACGAATTGTTAAGCAGAAGAGAAACGGCTAAAAAGCTTTAATGAATGAATGAATGTGATGAGAGGGGTGGAGAGAAAGAAAAGGTAGGTAACATTCGAGAGGCGTTGGATAGCTTATATATCCGATTCGCCTCGAAGCTCAGCTCTACCGATCCGCACCCATAACTTCCCATCCACGACTCCCGAGCCTTGGGTAATCCTGCATTACGTTAGGGAAAAGGCATCATAGCAGGGTGGTGTGTGGGCAATTCGCCCAAAATAGCATCCTTAGTATCTCTGGTGGATGAGGCTGACTGTCTCTCTGTCTGCAGATTGTGGAGGGACCGAACAACAGAGAAGCTTAGTGTAGCTTGGCAAATGCAACTTGCCTGCTATAGGCCGGATTGGCCAATATTGGAGAGTCCCATGCAGTGCACTACACATGTAACCAGGCCTTGGCTGGGTAAGTGATGGATACCAATCCTAGTTTAGAGCTGAGACGTCTACACGTGTGTTCATGTCTAGGAAATGAAGCCAAGAAAAGCCAAGAAAGCCAAGCTCATCCTCCCACCAAGTGGAGTATATAGCCAGTGTCCCCTCTTGAAGCTCGGCGTGAACCTTATAGTTAAGCATAATACTTAGTTCTTTATCGAGGTCGAACGGATAGAAAACTAGGATTGTTATTTCGGCTGTTCACTATATGCTTTATTCTTTGAAGGTGAGGTTAATTCTAGAACCGCTCATTATGTAATCCGAGTTTGATCTGAGATCTAGATATGTGTCTATTGACGTTGATTTTGAACACAGTATTGATACTATGTAATCTTGATGACCGGGGCCCCTGAGCCGAAACCTCCCTCGCTAGTTTACTACCGGTGGCTGACATAAGACGCCAAGATCTCAGACCAAAATAAGGTTAGTCTTAGTCTTACTGATAGAATCTTCTGAAGTTTAGATAGAAGCAAGCAATTGCACCTAGAGTATCTACCTACATACGTACGCGTCAGTGTAAGTATGCCGAGTTCAAGATTTGTCAACAGCAGCTGTTTATAACGATTGAATATGGACTATAATTGAGGCTAGAAATGACGGAGAATCGGCCAAGGCGATCTAAAGCAGAATTAGGGCCAGAGTTAACGCGGTGAGATCTTCTCTACTATTTTTGACTACACTACCAAGGCTAGTTTTACACTATGCTAGCGGGCTCCATGGAGTTGCGATACCACCGCCTGGAATGTCAGCTGCCAACCCGATGCCAACCCGAATATGCGCCACAATGATTGTCATTAACTCCAGTATTTTTTATACCCTAGTACAAGCCAGTATAAGTCGGTATTACCTTCTCTAGGATAGCCGACCACGCCCCCTTTTTGCTGTATCTCTCTTTGGGAGCTGGCATAACCATGCCTAATTTAAATAGGCAAGGGGTGGCGGGGTTATGAACATGGAGATGCCGGTATGTATCTAGTGTGCTCCTTACGCCAGGTACGTATCTATGCGTTTGCCTAGATCTGCCTAGAGTAAATGTTCTTTGATAATAACATACCACTCAGCACTAGCGTAGAGCGTATTGAACATATTTTGCATAGTATCTTGTTTCTTAAGTGCATCGGGAGGATTCTTTACTTGCTCAGTCGCTGCTCAGAAACGCGGAGTTACCTGCACAGTTAGATTGCATCTCCAAAATTCACCCCGGACCATGTGCTCCTCTCATCTTGACCTGCGACTTTTCACCCAATTATCATCATCGCCCGAGTTAATTGGGTAGCACTCTCTTCCACACCGACGTAGCGTAAGTACATACTTAGCTTTAAGAATTCATGAATCGAGTAACATCCATGATAATTCGCTCAAGCCCTGCCACTTAGTGTGTATAAAGTCGCACGGATAGATCCATGGGACCACGGGTGGCAAAAGAGACAGACCATGTGGTACGTGGAACTAGTGTAGGCATCAAGATCGACTACCTACCTGGTATCATAGTGTAAGCGCGGATACCCGGAGTCTTCGCTTGAGTCGGACATTACATCGGATGCGGTCGTCGTCTGGGTCGCCCTCGCGTCGCTAAATGACGATAATTCCCCTAGCAATGTAGTCATCCTGTTTTCACTTGATGCTTGGGTGGACTCGTCTAAAATGCTAGGCGTGTAGTGTACGTAGTCTGCGCTACTGGTATTCGACATATTCGAGGTTTAATGCGTTAGAATTGGTTCCGTAAGCAAGTAGGTATTCCCTTAATTAGACAGGTCAGTACAGAATACGCTACTTAGCTAGTGCTGCTAGGTGGGTTGGGCAATATGCTGTATGTCTCCTTCGGGAAGGACGAAGAGGGCGTTCGGGACTCCCTGCCAAGAGCCAAGCGAGTGAAAGCTGACATTGGGACAGTCAGCAGCTCATCAGCCAACCCTCCAAGACAACTTGGCCGCTGGGGAGGCGGTGGAAGAGCAAAAAGTCGGTCCTCTTGATTTTTCGTACGATTTCAAGTTCCAATAATTCCGCCAATCGTTTCGTTCTGTGTACGATGCGTAATAGTAATTTCAAGAGCAGTGACCAGCGTACATCACCATTGTATGGCTTGTCGGTTATGGCTCTAGCTGCATCCACATTGTTGTAGGTATCTCATAACTAGAGTTATCATTGTTAAAGGTCGTAGACTCCGGTAGTGATGTTAGCAATAAATGCCACAGCTATAGTCGATTCCTTCGGTGCCGAACCTGAAATACCCTCATTGCTCGTCGTGTACCATATAATTGATAATTGGCTGCTTGCTCGACTTAGGCACGTGTTTAGCTTGGCCGCGACTTGGCCGCTGTGTTTCAATCTGACAGAATAAATTCTCTCGACAGCCCGCCATTACCTTTGGTTGTCGTCGGTCGCGAAGCGTTGGCTTGATACGGCAGCCTTCGGTCATGTGGTGACTCTCAACGCTCTCTTCCTGGCTATAGACTGATCCTCGACGCTTGACCCAGCACCTGGTGTGATCCGGGGTGTTACCGGGTAAGTGACAACAGTCTAAGCACTTCTGTTAGGAAACACTCATAGACCTTACCTGCTATGGAGTAATATTGATTGCTTCGGGGGCCATAGGTATCTACACTCATGGCCGGTCATGAAGACTGTACTCTCATAGCTAGGCTACACGAAGCTAGATAGTCTTCGTGTTAAACCTGCCTATGGAAGATTGATGTATATCGCATGCGGCCGGTATCCTATCTGGTCTAGGTGGGTGGCTGTGGATATCTATAATAGATAAAAAAAAACACTCTCATTGAAGAGATATTTTCACTTACTTAAGCTATGATTAAGTAATATTGGTCGATATTGAGGATGTAGGAGTACGATGTCTGAGGGTCGATGTCGCCGTATGAACTTGCTGATAATGTTCTCAGGGCGATGGTGGGTAGGGTTTCCGAATGCTGTTCTCGTCGAGGTTGCTTCTCTAGAATTATCTGCTTGTTCCCTACTTCGTCGGTATTGTTGTTCGTCGTAAGGCTGTCGTCGAGTATTTCGAAAGGCTGACTGACTATCATTCCTAATGGTTTTCGTGAAGCTCTTCCTATGCGACGTTGACTACCTTCGTAAAGGGGCCCGGGCGATGTAGTTGTTTGACTGTGATGTATGTATTGTCTTTCTTATCTGTATGCTGTCTTGTCCGTAATGTCACACTAACCGCATGGTTCCACGACCTATTAGGGCTCCTCATGCATGCGTATTCAAAACATTTTTTGTTTAAGTTGTGTACGGTAGGATAATCAAGTCACATGATATAAATGTTTGGCGGCTGTAGTGACAATCTTTCGAAGGGATGATGAATGTTGTACTGAATAACCAGGCAAGATGTTGTGAAGACAGATGCTCATCGGGTTTGCTACCTACATATATAATAAGAGAAGAAGAAAGGAAGCAAGTATATCGCTGCAGCAGGATTACTCGGTCTTATTTTAGGACAATTGAAATACTTTGGCGACAGCACGCCCCATATCAAGTAGTGAAGGCCCATCCGGGTTACCATCAAGGTGGCCATCAAGGTTGGTGAGAGCCTATCTTGGTTTCCTATTTGATTTCGTGAGAGTGGCTGGCCAATGGAATCAGTAGAAAGCTATGCTGCATCGAAGCGAGCCAAACAAAGCTGGACGCCATCCCTGCTGACATATAATAAAGATGAACTCAAGGCAAAGTATGCCAAATGCAAGCTGTCAGCTGGGAGACATATTACTATGTGCGGATAATCCCGCCCCTAAGCAACTGACATCAACCTTATTACTTCGAGGTTAGAAAGTAAATACCTAACACATCACATACCTAGTTTTATTATATATAATAAATAGATACTGACTGGTATTCCTTACCTATGGCACCTCAACTTCAGAACACAATCGCGCTGTCGTGAGGGCAGTAAGTAAAATAGTAAGCTAAAAGAAGATAGCTTTTTAAGTCTACGCCTAACTAAACAAGACATTCTCAAATGTTTGTCAACATATAGCAACTCTTATAGGCTCGAACTTCTCTTTCTTCAACATCTCCACATGGAGAGAAAAGAAAAAAAAAAAAAGGTTGTTATCGACGAATACTCTTATTTTGCAAGGGAGCGTTCAAAAACGAAAAAGAATGGACGAACGGGGAATTGAACCCCGGACCCCTCCCAGTCGTCTATTCCTGGAGAAATTCCAGATATGCGAAGGGAGTATCATACCCCTAGACCATTCGCCCAACTCAGCACACGAATCATGTGACTTATGCAAGGAATAGTGTTTAGAGATCTCTATATTCAATTGGTTTGAGATGGGTTGCTTGCTCACAGAGTAGGTGCCTAGTTTAGCATGCTACCCACTAAATCTTCCAATAAGCGCGCACTGTGTTTTATATCTGTTCAAGGAATAATACAGTACAATGCTCGCTACATTTTTCACAAGTTACAGTGTCGACCTTTGAAAACGCCACAGTATTTATCGAAACTGCCACGCAACTCAACGCCAGCACTGAGAACGTAATTCTTTGCAATACTCATCTCTACTTGTATATTACTCTTGCACTTGTCATCTCACTTGGTGCCAATGACGTATTCCTCTCTTTCTAATCACGTTAAATCTGTTAAATGATTCGAATCCAATATCCCTTTTATGCAATCCATGTGAGCGAGCCTCTCAATGGCTCCTGAGGGCGGCGCAAGGTTAACGGGCCTTTGGTGAGCTTCACTCAAACCCCTATTCTATCTAGTCTTACGATAACAACACCACCATCAGTTGACAACGAGGCAAAAATTGGTGCTAACTAAGCACAAGGTTCCTTGCTTCATTTTTCTGGCTCTCATATTCTCTGCAAAGACACACTTTAATTAGTTAGTACTTATTTACCCTGCCTCTATTCTATTGTGTAGAAGAAAGTTGCTAACAGAAGCTTAGGTCAACCACGTCTCTCATCTTTCTTACTGCTCCTTGTTTCTGGAATATCGGCTTTTGCCGTAAGCCTCTTTTCAAAATGGCTCCCAGGAGCAAATGGAAGATTTGGTTAGCTCCTCCAGTTCCATTTATGTGAAGCGGTACTTAATGCTCCTTATAGATTCCGATGCCATCTTAAAGTCATCATCATCATCATTACCTCCAAGGCCACGTCGGTTTTACGTCCCTTGTATTATAGCCTTAATTGTCATTAGACTCGAGCTTTATTATAGAGGGTTGTACGATTTTCAATGCACTACTCCTAGTGTTGAGGTGAGTATCCTGCCGTCAGGCCAACAGGTCTCCCTACTAATTTTGGCCAATAGGCCTTTTTGCCTGTTTTATTAGTTGCCTATAGGTTCCTCTCACATCGTTCACCGCAGGTGGAATCAGATGAGCCTGAAGATATGTGGGGGAGCCTGTGGGATGATATCAAGACTTGGCTCACGGGTTCGCCTGTTATGCTGCTTTTCGGCACTATTCTCCTCAGTTGCGGAACGTTTCTGGCCGGCAACTCAGCAACTCGATCAACATATTTCTGCTCTTCCCTGGCGGATCGAAGGCCACTCGTGGTATTTACCCAATGGGCCGGTCTTTTTGCAGATGCAATTATCATTATTCTGTTATGGAGAGTGCTATCCTGGGCGCGAACAACTAGAAGTCGACTACGGACCCTCGGTAGCATTTTGTTCGCCACAGCATTTGCAACATGCATTCCGTTAATACTGACACAATCTTCGCGGCGTGGTGTGGTTATTGGGCACCAGTCTCTTAAGGGCGTCAACCCTCTCTACATTTTCGATACTTTGAGCACCGGCATAGCGGTTGGTACTCTAGTTATATCTACGTCCCTAATGTCATGCGAAACATCACCTCACGAGCCCATCACTATTGCCACTTTTGCGTCTGGTGTTGTGGCTAGTGTTGGCAAAACGCTGCTTGTCGGTACATACCAGCAGACATCCGCAACACAGCCGCTATTCACATTAGGGGCTATCTCAGTGGGGTTTACCTCTTACATGTACACACACAATATGCGCTCAGTACTTTCTCTACGACGTGCAATCATTTTGTTACTCCTATTCAGCACAATAGTTTCTTCCGTTACCTACACGATATTGACACCAAAGTTGTTTACTCGCCATCCCGTTGATGACTTCGTGTACAAAAACAGAGTGGAAGCGGACAGATGGCTACGGCACGCAACAGTTAGCACGACACTGAAGCTTGCGGTCAAGGAATATGGAGAAAGACACCACGGGCGCAAGCCTCCGCCGAATTTCGACAAATGGTTTGAGTTTGCTCGCCAGAAAAAGTCGGTTGTCATCGACAGGTTTGATCAAATAGAGAAAGACATCTTACCGTTCTGGGGTTTGCAGCCGCAGGTGATTCGAGATGGTCTCAAATTCCTTAGGGGTCAGCCTAATATTGGTATCATTAGTATAGCCAATGGCAAGGCGGCTCATAATGCTCCGTCCGACCTTGAGCAACAAAAAATACTAGACGAGATCGTAACCCTGATCTCCGTATTTGTAGAGCATCTCCCGGCAATGGAGATTGCTATCAATCTACAGGAACGGCCGAGGGTTCTAGTTCCTTGGAATGACATACATAGACTAAGAACGATAGCTACCCAACCAGGCTTCCAGCTTATCTCGGGTAAACTCGGTAGGCGCGAGGATTCAGACATCTCGACAGAGGAGAATATTAGATCCATCAAGCGAATAGCACCTGCGGATGCTGCCCGGCCCTATATTGCAGCGCATCAATTTCGACAACTCGAAGCCATCACCTGTCCTCCTGGCTCACCAAGTCGCAGTGGTGTCAATTGGGATGTAAGAGACTTGTGCGCTTCGTGCGCCTCGCCACATAGCAGGGGGCAGTTTCTTCAAGACTGGGGAAAGGCGCTCGACCCCTGCCATCAGCCAGATATCTTCAATCTTCACGAGTTCCACACGACTCCCCATCAATTCGAGCTCTACCAGACTCTACTACCTCTCTTTAGTGGGTCAAAAACAGCTGGTTTCAATGATGTATTAATTCCGTTCTCACGAGGCGGGCCGACGGATGATTTCGACGGCAAAAGTTTTAATCAGAAGCAGGACGTTGTCGTGTGGCAAGGAGACATTAAGGATACACCGACGGTGACCCATGAGCTGCTTCATGGTAGTCATCGATTGCGTTTGGTTCACCTCATTCAGAACGCCACAGCTACAGACAACATCCCCATGTTATTGGGAATAGGAGCGGGTCAAAATAGCAGGTTTCAGTACGAAGATGTATCTACTACCGAGAGCAACAGTATTCTACCTCTGCGATGTTCGATGGCTAGCCCGTCCGAGGGCTGCCAAGATGCTAACTGCGAGCTCGTACGAGCCGAGTTTGGACTGGAGCCGCCGGTCGCCGAGGTGGATAGTCGTTATGTGGTGTTGCTCGACACCAGCGACGGGCCACCGCCGAACTTGCTACAGGTGCTACGGTCAAACAGCGTGCCTGTGCTCTCTTCTATATTCCAGCAGTGGTTTACGGAACGGCTCATGCCTTGGGTGCATTTCGTCCCCATCGACACACGTTATCACGGCTTGCATAGCACTATGGCATACTTCATTGGCCTAGATGGTCGTGGCACGCTCAATGGTCGAAACCAGGTCACGCCAGCGCGAACAGAGGATGCGAAATGGATCGCTCAGCAAGGCCGCAAGTGGGCCGAAAAGGCGATGAGGAAAGAAGACATGGAAGTTTATTTATTCAGACTGTTATTGGAGTGGGGGCAGGTCATAGACGACAATCGGGAGAACGTAGGCTTTGTGTATAAAGGATAAGACAACGTAATTCGACGCTCGACATGGAATGTATTATTTATCTAGACTCCCTTGACTTTGGTGTTATAGACGGAACTTGTATCCATATGGTATACATTGATATAGCTGGCTATATTCATACAAAGTCTACTAATACAAGAATATGTATATAAAGTATAGTACTACCACGATATCGAGGCGTGACGTAGGCAGCCGTAATACCTAACAGGTAAGGTAGGGAGGTACAGGTACAATGAGGCTGTGGTGCTTCAGCGCTTCCCCACTAACCTCATCATTGCCTGCCATTGCTTCACCTACAGACCCTCATCATTCTATGTGGCTCTCAACGGAAGCAGGATAAAATTGAAATTATTATTCCCCTCCCCTATCTTCTTCATTTTTTTTCTTTTTTTCATGACGACACAGCTATAAGACGTGATTGCTAGCTAGCCGAGGAATCGATAGATACCTAGCTAAAGCGCAAGCACAAGCTCAAGCTCAAGCACGCCGCGGCCTCCGGACCTCGCGCACCAACCAACCATGGCCATCATCGACCAGGATAACTTCTCCGACGTCTCGTGGCGAATCGAGACCGACGATGGCGTCGCGGCTGCCCGGTCGAATGCTTCTCTGCCGAACATAGAAGCCGAGCCGCCCACCAGCGAGGATCAACATCATGGCCGAGATCTCCAACGTCAGGATCCCGGCCTGTCCGGCGACATTCTCGAGTGCACCGTTTCGGAGCCGCACAAGGAGAGCGACGGCACCAAGGATGCATTTGTATCTTATCTAATAACCACAAATGTGCGTATGTGCCTGCGTGTGCGTGTAGCGCAATGGAGTGACTATAGGCGCCGACACCAACACCAAATTATCCGACCTCACCACTCACTAACTGACTAACCGTCTGACTGACTGGCCGGCTGACTTACCCTCTTCACAGTCGACCTTCCCTTCCTTCCAGAAACCAACCTTTACCTCCCGCCGACGCTTTACCGACTTCCTATTTCTTTCCAAGACCTTGTCCAAGGAGTATCAGGCGTGCGCCGTCCCTCCACTACCTGATAAACAGCGCATGGAGTACGTCCGAGGCGATCGGTTCGGACCCGACTTCACTAACCGGCGCGCGTACTCGCTCCAGCGTTTCCTGACACGTATAACCCTCCATCCGATCCTCCGGCGGGCCCCAATTCTTCACACCTTCCTCGAATCCCCCGACTGGAATGCCACAATGAGGTCTCGCACCGGTAGGACAAGCGCTGCCTCCGAACAGGGGAGCGGTGGCGTATTCGACAATTTTGCTGATACCTTTATCAACGCCTTCACAAAGGTACATAAGCACGATAAACGGTTTACTGAGGTACGGGAGAAGAGTGACAAGCTAGACGAGGATCTCGCCCAAGTAGAGAAGGTGGTGGCCCGCGTCGTACGGCGGGAGACCGATTTGGAAATCGACCTACGAGACTTGACG